ACTTCAAATGAAAACAGAAAATATTGATAATAACTATAGTCTCAATACTAACACTAGCGATACTTTAATTGTATTACAGCTTTATAATGATGTGAAAACTTGTTCTCCTCAGTCTGTGAACACACATGCCAAACGTCCCATGAAAGCTCAGTGTAGATCATCTGCATCTTCTACTATTGAGATCTCGTACTGCGCGAGGCTCACACACACACACACACACACACACACACACACACACACACACACACACACACACACACACACAACATGGCCATGTCATGTTCAGCTCTAATGAGGATAAATGGCACTGTGACAGACGTCTGTGAAGGGAACAGCCAACACAACAGAACTCATGAAGAAAAGCCATTATTCATCAGGATAAACAAATAAACTCATCCAAATCCCATCTCACGTCTGTTGCTTCGTGCCTCTTCTTGTTTAGGCTTCAATAATAGATGTTCCTGTAGCTCAGCTGGACGAGTATTTTATTTTATTCTTAATGAATAAATAGGAAAGAGGTTTAAAAATAAAGAAGTTTTGTTGGTTATTTTGGCCCAGTCAGCTCCTGAATCAAAAGTCCCAAATTAAGGCAATAAAGTCATCGTTGTTCAAATCTACTGCATTTTGCTGAGTCTTTCATGTTGCACACTTTCCCCTAGATGGGGGGCGTAACAAATAACAAAAGCACAAAACAAAAAAATATCAAATAAAAGCTAAATATTGATCATTTAAAAGTTTTAACAGATGCTTCCATTGTAAAATTCATCAATTTCTGTTAAAAATGCTTCCATTTCTTTTCCAAATGCTTCTATATTTTTGTTGTTGATGTCAAAGGTCATGTCCCAATCAAAACATGGTATTTAATCACTTCTTCATAACCTAAAAACATAAAAAACTACACAGGTAGATCCAGACTACAGTAAATATGAGTGAATCTGCAAGTGAGGACACAGATTATTAGCCTGGTTAAAACCAGAGCATTCTCAGTTGTAAGTGAGTTATGGTCTGGCAAAGCGTCATAGACAAATCATTTCCAGAGGGGCGTCACCAACGGACGTCGCGGATAGACCTAAACCCAATCAGAGCGATGAAGGAGATGACGTATGCAGAGCGGCAGAAACATCTCCGAGTGTTGTTCTTTGCTCGGTGTTTAACTAAAAGGAAACGTTCAAATGGCTTAAAACAGACGCGATAGCTGATTGGAACGAGTGATGTTCGACGGCGGCATCCATCTTTGTAATGTAGGCTACAAAATCTGCTTCAAAATCCCAGCGCTGTCGTCATCGTGTAAAGCCCGCCCCAACGCTTCTGATTGGTGCCGCAATTTCGGCGGATTGGAAATGGGCTTGAATGAGCTCTTTGCCAGACTAACTTTCAGAGCAAATCTAAATTTGCCGGAAGTTGTCTGGGTTTTCCCAGGCTAACAGATTGGTGTTTTGTGAGGTGAATTGACCCTTCGCTAAGCCACGCCCGAAAACCGCCACTGGCCAATCGTGGCTTAGCAACCGTAACTAGGCGCGGGAGGTCTGTCAAGCTTTCGGGCGAGGGAAACATGCCGACGCGTTGTGCGTATGGATTGTTCAAATCTGATACCCGGTATTCTAAAAGTTTGGACGGTGGGGTGGGATTTTTTCTCTTCCCGAAACCTAAAAGCCAAAGGGGAGAAATCCCGGGCGTGATCAAGCAGTGTGGAAACCCATTCACAACTAAATGTCGACAGGATTAACAAAAAAAAAACGCCTATTGCTTGGAAATAATGGCGGTTCTTTGTTCATAATGCATATATTTGAACGTAAAATAAGACGATTAAAGGCAAGACGGAGGCTCACTGACATACTTTAAAATATGTTTCATCATTGTGTTAATCGACGGCGGACGGCCTACTAACGTTAACTTTACCCCTGTAACTTTACCCCAATCCGATCGTGTTAGATTGATGGATAAACTGTTTGATTTAAATTGATTTGATATTAGATTATTTTCACATTTCACTTACTCTGCTGTGCATGAACATAGCTGTTCAATTTGTGTGTTTCCCATGTGAATGGTCTGCTAAGGAGGCGGCTGCTGCTTGCGCTGGGACCTAACGTTATAGGCTTTAGCTTCAATTTTGATGAAATTATTCTCTAATCGGTTGCATATTATGTCGTGGATATATCCCTCGAATGCATACTGCAGTCCCTTTTGTCTTGCTCTCTCAGATATTTCACTTGTTCGCCAAAAATGACTAATTATCTCCTTGGGAATGTCTGACACCGGTGCATTCACACTGTAATAGACGTGGCAGCCACGAAAGCTTGACAGGCGTAGCAACAGTAACTAAGGAGGGCGGGGTTTGGCGAAGGGTCAATTATCAGCTGCTGAAAGCATGAAAACATTGACATTCAACTTTATGGTTAAAAATAACAGATGTTGCGTCGGCCACTGAAGGAGCGAAACCAGTTCCAACTGTATCCGTGTTTCCGGTCGGGATAGAGGCCTGAAACGTGGGTTTTGCAGCATGGTCAGTGTTTTTATCTTTGGCAAGTGAAACTGTGCTGTACGAGGAAGAGTTCCCCTCCTCTTCTCCTGAGCTGATGCTTAATGTCTCCGATGCCCTTTTCAACTGGGTCCGAAACACTTAGGATGAAAGCACTAATCGCATCGCTCCGGGCCGTTTCAAGGTCCTGTTGTCTTTATTCTGCAAACACATGCAAACTTCTTTCTGCTGTGTGTGTCGGCGCAGTGAGTCCCACGGCTCGGCGCTGCGGAGGAAAACGCTGGAGAATATGGGAGTTTTTGAAAAGCATGCATGGATTTGGCTGACCTGCGTTTCTAAACCAGTCGAGTGTGATTGTTCAGTAGCGCTCTCTCTGTCCACGAGTCAAATGATTGTTCAGTCTGATCGATTGTTATAAGTGTACCGCTGAAACTGGCCGTTCAAAGTTCATCTCAGACAGGAGAGGACGGAGAGTAAGCAATACAGTTATACGTGCTTGTGATTTTAGTTGGGCAAATGTTTCTTTTGCATTTCCATTTTTATTGCTGTCTATTCCAGGCCATTGCATGGACAATATAAAAGCAAGCTTGAACCAATTTGCTAAACATTTCCATTAACATCCCAACCACATAATGAATTGTTGTCCGTTTAAAAACGTTGGAGGTACAATTTGTGTAACGCATAAATCCGATCACATCAGGGATCAGCAAGCCTGGACCATGAAGATAGCTCATTTGTATTAACGTTATGGAGCAGAAGTCTGACTTTGATTGGCTGTACAATTCATAATAAACCCTGTTTAGGCAGCTCTACAGTTTTAGTTTTTTATTAGAGGAAGAAATTGAGTCTATTCTCTTTGACTAATGCAAACCGGTGCACATTAATAATGGCCACTCTAAAAAATGCTGAGTTGTTTTAACACAATTTTGTGTCAAATATGGACAAACCCAAACGTTGGGTTAAAAATTTTCATTTAAAACGTTTAAATTGAATTTAAAAATGTAACCCAGCCATTGGGTTTGTCCATATTTGACGCAAAGTTGGGTTGAAACAACCCAGCATTTTTTTTAGAGTGTGCAAACAATATGCAAGTTTCTTCACTGGATATATCAACATGCTTCTGCACCTACAGTAAATGCCTCTAAAGTATTTTTACGACGCAAGATTGTAAAACTTCGATAATAGTAGTGATAGTAAGAATTGCTTGTTTGAGTTGAATTTGAAAATATTTCAAAAAGCAAATTGCATCAGTTTGATACTTTAAAAAAGCCTAAATTGAATATCACAAATGTTCTGATGCAAGAAACCAATGAATTTGGGCGATTATGATGAGATCATCTCTGTTTATGACCAGAAGTTCTGTTGTCTCGGTCTAAGTGTGTGTGTGTGTGTGTGTGTGTGTGTGTGTGTGTGTGTGTGTGTGTGTGTGTGTGTGTGTGTGTGTGTGTGTGTGTGTGTGCGTGCGTGTGTGCGTGCGTGCGTGCGTGCGTGCGTGTGTGTGTGTGTGTTTATCTGTCCTTATAATTTAGAATTCCCATTAGCTGTCTTCTATCTCTGGTCTTGTTGTTATGTCAAATAAAAAAAAAGTTTAAAATCCTAGTTTTATGTTTTAAAAGAAAGTTCCGTTGGTGTTTGTTAACGTCAGTGGAGTATCCATGCTTTCCACACAGAGCAGAGGATGCTGGGTAAGAGACAGTGGCGGGTGTCTGATGTGTCAGGTCTCCATCTCTCCCCCGTGTGTGTCGTCGAGTGTGTGAGTTCAGGAGATCCTCCTCCTCATAAACTCCGCTGTCATAAACGCTTCTGTCGCCAGGCGGTGTGTGGCGGTCCTGAGACGGTTGCCAGGCAACCAGCGCTGCATTGATATGCGAGTTGGAGGGAATCAGGGGAAGCCTCCTGTCTCTGGAGCATCAGTGTTGGTGCGACTCCAACACACACACACACACACACACGCACTCGTCTCTCTAACACACTCGCACAGCCGGGCGCTCGAGGCGTCGAGTCTCAAAAACTGGAATCCTCTCTCACTTTTCCTGCTATTGCACTCTAAGGCACTTCATGTCCTAGTTTTTATGGGGTTTCAACCAAGGAGAAGCACGGAAACTCTCTGAACGCCTGAACAAAGCTGAAGTTTAAAGGTGTGCTCACATTTACCGTTGTTCCGCGAATTTTGGGAATCCAAGATTAGGAATTTCTAAAGATTTCATGGTTGGTCGCGTGGTTTTGCAGAATTGACCAACAAAGAGCTGCTTAGTTTGAGAGTGACTTTTTTTGTGAGCTTTGCTACTATTGACAAAATAGAAAAGCTTTTTCTCCACCCACGAAATTTCGCTGAGAATTTGTCCTCGGGTCCAAGACGGGATAGACAAGAGCTCATCGAGTTTGGCTAATTAAAAAGACGGAGATAAAAACTTAGCACGTGATTAAACCGCCCTCTCTCTCTCTCTCTCTCTCTCTCTCTCTCTCTCTCTCTCTCTCTCTCTCTCTCTCTCTCTCTCTCTCTCTCTCTCTCTCTCTCTCTCTCTCTCTCTCATCGGTTCACCTTTGGCTCACGGACGGAACAAAGAGCGAGAGGAGAGAGAGTGTTTCACACAAGCTCAACTCGAGAAGAAGTGAAATGAAACCGGGCAGGACAATACTGGAGCGCCGTGGGAAGCTCAGCCACTCTCCGTGATTCGGGATCTCCCTTCGGGATAAAGGATGAGGGGATTGGACTTCTCTCCGAGCTTCCAGGGACGTGTGTACGCCTGGGAAAGAGCATCCCGCTCAGCATGTCCGATGCTATGCTCCTCCTGATGCTGTGCAAGGTAAGCTCAATCCCAGAGGATCCTCCGCCGGGAGAACACAGTGCGAAGGAGTGCAAAAGGAAAAATGAGTGAGAGAATTACCAGCAAAACTTTGTCTTTGAAAATGCATGCATTACAGCTGTGGCGTTAAATACTGTAAAACAAGAGTCTAGAAAATATTAATATTGCTATAAAAGTGAAGGGTTTATGCCTTTGGTCACACTTAATTATAAAGTGACGTAGTTACATTTTACTTACTCAAATAAGTACAGAGTAACTACAGGTACTTACTATAGAGTCACGGTTTGGTTTTACTTGTAATTATGAATAATCTACTGTTGTTATTACTATGTACATGTAGTAACGTGAAACTACGTCACCTTAAAATAAAGTGTTTCCATTCCTTCACATGAGAATAAAGTTACTGGAGCTTCTGATGAACTTGATAAAAATAACAATCAGTGCAGGTTTATTCATTTTAACATTACTGCACATCCTGTTTTTTCATTACTTTAACTCATCAAAATAATTTGGCCAATTTCAACTTCATTTATACAAAATTCAACTCGATTTTTAAGTCACTTATAATATTATTTAATTTAAATGAACTGAAAAAGAAATGTTGAAATGCCAATTTGATTATACTTCAAAATTTAAGGCAACAACTTCAACTTAAGTTTTTAAGTTTAATAGGTGAAATTATTTTTGCACTGATTATGATACACTGAAAGTGTTTTGTTTGAAAGTTAATATTTATTCTTATTTGGGTAACACTTTATTTGACAGTGTCATTGATACACGTTACATGCAGTTACTGTAGTAATAACTATAAATTATGCATAATTACATGCAACTAACCCTAAACTAGACCCTCATCCTAACCCTATAGTAAATATAGTTCATTATTATTACTCCAGTACATAAATGCATAATTACACTGTAATACTGACACCTTAAAATAAAGTGTAACCCTATTTATTGTAAAGTATAAGTTTGAGATGTATAAATGTGTGTTATGAGAAAGTCCTGGTGCTTTTGGCAGCATTATAGAAATCAATTCTACCGTATAATACAGGCAGATATAAACAAAGCTTGAGGAGCGTTTTCATCTGACATGGATTAGCTCATGAGTGTGTGTGTGTGTGTGTGTTTATTGGGGGCTGTTTATTTGTACTCCATTTTAAATCAATGCCTACAGCAACACTGTCAGAGCAGGTTAACGTCTTCAAACATTTCATATGCCTGAAATAACTCGAGTGTGAAAAGGTTTGGCCATTCACTTATCCAGAGAGGTTCATGTGTTCTGCTTAGGTGACATTTCTTCTGACGGGTCATCATCTGTGCACTTAATATGTGGACACTCATATGTGTTGGGTTCAGGCTTTACACTATTGAACATGGATGCAGGGATTCAGACACACAATCATCATCCAACTGTCTAATAACATCAGTTTCAGCTCATCTCATAGGTTGTTCATTGAGATTCAGGTCTGGATTTTGTCATCATTGCATTAAAAGGCCCAGAAAGCCTGTTCATTATAAGACTGTGCACATATTTTTGTCATGCAAATGCAGTCAGGCAGCAAAATCTTTCAATTTGTCTTCTGTCAGGCTGCTCTTGCAACTCGGTTGCATCAAGTCTGGTTATGTTGGTTCGTGCCGGGAAATATAATATTTACCAATGCCAAGCAGTGGGAGAAACGTAGGTTCATTTAATCTACAAAGTGACTTCAGAGTACCTGAAATATGCATATTTATGCAGTTAATATCATTGACTGGACAATAACAAGCAAAGATTCAAACAGAGATTCCAGCAAAACTTAGTCTATGAAACTTCATGCATACAGTTGTGGCATTAAATGCTGTAAAACGCGAGTGAAGAACATATTAATATTAATAGCAAAAGTGATATTAAAGGGAGGGTTCACAAAAAAAGTGAAAATCATTTACTTTCAATCAATACAACCCTGTATGACATTCTCTCTTCTGTGAAACACAAAAGATAATATTTTGAAAAATGACTGTTTATTTATTTATTTTTGTATCCATGCAATGAAAAGGATGGTGAGTAAATGATCACATAATTCTCAGTTGAACTGAGTTTTGGTTGAACTATCCATTTAAAGAGCATCTAAAGAGCATTCACTAGTCTAGTTTTAAATTTCACTTTAGACTAAGAAAACATGCAAAAAAAATATTGATCATCAATAGTGTATAGAAATGCTCTTTAGAATGAGAATGGGGAAAGAAAAACTGCACTCAAGTGATTTCATGAGGGCTTCTGAAACCCTAAACACAGGAGATGTCTCAGATGCTGAAGGTTTGTGTGATGTCCAGAGCTCATGAATATTTAAAGCAGCGAGCGATGAGGCCTTTTATGATTGGCTCTGTGTTGCGAAACGACTCACGGTAACGCTTGAGCATCGCACTGGCAGAGTCATTCGGGGTTTACAACACATGAAGTGTAGCGTTAAACACTCTTTTGATCTTCTGAAAAAAGCACAATCACATGTTTTTTTAGTCGTTTGCAACATCTGTCGCCACCATTTGAATGTGCAACCCTACAACAAAGAGCGTTTGCATTCATACTCAAATTGTGCAAAGGGATATTTCCAGAGAACCTGATGACCAATGTTCCTGGACTAATGTCACATGGCTTGGCCGGCTTATTGTGCTGTCGTCCCAGCTGGCCAGTTGGTGAAGTGGTTTTGGACGATCTCCAGTATGTTCCTGAGCTCAGCGCAGCTGCTCTCTCTAGTGAAGCTGTTTCCAGACTCACATCTGACGCTCCAAACCTTCCCGAAACGTCTTCTATAACGCGATGCATGAGAGCACATCTAGTGTACAATCAGAGGGTTGGGTTTGAGGAAAGCCCTGTTTATGTGACGCACACTATAGAGCACACACAAACACATGCACTGAAAGAAAAAGATTTGGTAACGCTTTAGATTACAGCCCGGAAAGTACTGTGTAATTAAGAGGCCTTTACAGTGTAACTTTCTGTAATTATTGTGTACCTATAAAGTACTTGCATGTAAGTATAAGGGAACAATATGTAAAGTTTGGGGGATAAAGGGGTAACAAGGAGAATTAAAAAAATATTTATACTGTAAGTATTATAGAACTGAGGGGTACTTATTCTACTATTATGATACAACAATCTTACATTTGGGATCAATTTAGCGAGAACATATACTGCGTACCTTTTTGTAATAATTGTGTACCAAGGCAATACATACTGTATAGGCTTTTTTAAAATGACGGTACATATCTATGCATTTATAAAAATAAAAAAAATAAAAAAAAATTTGATAGCAAAAGTGCAGATGTTTAAGTTTGGGCTAACATGTTTCAAGGCAAGAAAAGCTAAGACTATTGCAATTTGTTTTAAATATACTGGGAAATAAATCCGGTTTCATGTGGTTACAGGGTAAGTGGTGCTTGTATAATAAATAAAGGTTTCTGAGTCAGTGATATAAGATTGTGTGTGTGCATTTTTATTGTACTTACCCTGTAACTACATGGAAGAGGGTAACAAGCACCACTCTAATTTACAGCCCGCAATGTCACACTTACCCTGTAACTACATGGAACAAGAGGGTAACAAGCACCACTACATGAAACAAGAGTATCTTTCCCCAATATTTAAGCAAAAGTTGCAATAGTTTTCGTTTTCAGTGCACTTTTGTTAAAAAGATAACTTTATAAATGCATAGATATGTACCCTGTAATAAAAAAAATAAAAAAAGCCTATACAGCATGTACTGGTTCAACATTATTTCATAAAGGTATGTTCTTGCTAAATTGCTCCCAAATGTAAGATTGTTATATCATAATAGTAGAATAAGCACCCTTTAGTTCTTTAATACTTACAGTATAAATAATTGTTTAATTCTCCTGGTTGTTACACCTTTATTCCCCAAACTTAAAATATTGTTCCCTTATACTTATATTGTAAGTACGTTATAGGTACACTATAATTACCGAACGTTACACTGTAAAATCACTTTAATTACTCAGTACTTTCCGGGCTGTAATCTAAAGCGTTACCAAAGATTAATTTGCTAATTATAACAAGTGCATTTTATGCACTTAAGTAATGCAATGCTTTTTAACTCAAAACTAGGCCGTATATGAAAAGTATGTGTGTAAATAGGCCTATATTTGTTTACCAACTGTTGTGTATCGTTTAGAAAATGTACAGTATGTGTGTTTGTGTAATATACACCACAATTGAAAAGTTTGGTGTTGGTAAGAGTATTAAACGTTCTGTAAAGAAGTCTCTTCTGCTCACCAAGGCTGCATTTATTTGATCAAAAATACAGTAAAAACAGTACAATATTATTGCAATTTAAAATAACTGTTTTCTATGTGAATATATAGTAAAGTGTAATTTATTCCTGTGATCAAAGCTGAATTTTCAGCATCATTACTCCAGTCTTCAGTGTCACATGATCCTTCAGAAATCACTCTAATATGATGATTTGATGCTCAGAACACATTTTGAAAACAGTTTAGGTTAAATGGCTGAAATAAGGTCTGTGGTGAACACAAACTCAAGACACTTTCACGTTTTATTCTACGACATAAAATACATCAGTATCACCCCACTCGTGATTTTTTTTACTGTTACGTGTCTTGAAAAAGTGTCTAAATGAGACAGCAGAAGCTGTCAGCGAGATTAAACGTCATTACGCTGAACTCAGTCTGCGTTTACAGCATCATCATGCTTATAATCACACTCTTACAAACTATTCTAAATCAAACTTTCAGGGAATATGTTTATTTATTTATTTTTTTGATAAAAACTGAAAAAGTCGTGGGACTGTTGTAATTCCTTTATAGTCTATTTTACTTCTGGCGATTGTGTTTAGGCTTCATTTGTGAAAATTATCTTGATGGACAAAACGTGTAAGCATCACAAACATTTGTTGATCAGAGAGCTTGTTTTCTGCAATAATCTATAGCATGGATGGGCAACTTCAGTCCTGGAGGGCCATTGTCCTACAGACTTTAGCTTAAACCCTAATCAAACACACTTGAACAAGCTAATCAAGGTCTTCAGGATTACTAGAAAGTTACAGGCAGGAGATTTTTTTCAGGGTTGGAGCTAAACTCTGTAGGACAGTGGCCCTCCAGGACTGAAGTTGCCCATCCCTGATCTATAGTTTTTGTCGAGCGAACCAGTGTGATGTTAACTTCTGGGTTGGCCTACAACTGTACGTCATCCCGACACCACTCTATAGGCTTCTAGAAAGATCTTACCGGAGTAAACTGCAATTCCTACAGGATGCTTTGACTAGGGCATCTATTGTGTCTTTCACTTTCCAATATTCATGACAAAAGGACAGGCACATTGTTGTCCAGCCCTGTGGAGCGATTGAATGCCAAACCACATGAACGACTGCATTCATCATGAATCTGGACCGTGAATGAGTCTCAAGGGATCCCCAAATCACATCATCCCACAGTGTAGCCTGTCAATCTGCCATCAGACTTCTGGAAAGCTGCTGCCGCAGGATTCACTACACACAAGACACGTCAACTTTTTTTTTTTTTTTACAAATAACAGATTTAAACATCATTTATTTGGTAATATTAATTGTCATTAAATAGTTTTTTTTCTTAATATTTGTTGTATGAAGGTTACATTGGAAAATATAGATGCACCAATATGAACATTTGGTTCGATACCGATAACCGATAATTCATTATATTTGAAAGCCGATAACCGATACATTGGCCAAATTTTTATATAATTTTTGAGAGCCTGAAAACAAAAGTCTCACCATTAAAAGCCATGTCCCAAACACACAATTATAATGTTGTCATTATAATTTTATGTAGCCGATATGACAGACTTGCGCGAACATGTTGTACTTTACGGTATCTTCATTTTTAAGTGATTCCAATCGTATTTTAAACAATTCAAAACCATCATGTTGAACAGTGCGCATCTGAAGTGTCTCAGCTGAAGGAAATAACACATTATTTATCAGCTTTAAAGGTGCAGTGTGTAGATTTTAGCGGCATCTAGCGGTTCGGTTGCGAGTTGCACTAATGGCTCCGCCCACTGCTCACCCCTCCCTTTCGAAGAAGCTACGGTGGCTCAAACGGGACAAACATATCGTCATCTGAGACAGCAGAGAATAGCCAGAGTAAGCCAAGTTTCTGTATCACAGTCCATTATAAACCACATCATGGATAAAGTTTACAAAGCCATAGTCAGGTGAGGATCAAGGGTATATAATATAATATATAATATAATAATAGTAATCAGCTGATTGTCTCACAAACGTAACCAGCACATTTCTCCCCACATAGCAAACCCATAAAACAGCGAGGGAGAAGAACCACATGAAACTATCCAACTACAGGGTGGTAAAAGTTTAGCTGGCTAATATGAGCTGTTACTATGGCTGAGCTGGTTAAAGCGTAAAGCCTGGTTTAAACTCGATGCGTCCGCATGAGCGCAAAGCTGCGCGCGCCTCCGCATCCCCTAGACACCACTTACTACACACAATAGGCTTTTATTCTCTGATTTTGACAACTCTTCGCGATCGACTTAAAATGCTTCCGAGATGGACTTGTCGACCGCGATCGACGGGTCGGTGATTCCTGTAACGTTACTGTTTTACGGTCAATAGTGCTAATCAGCTGATTGTCAAAGCCATAACACAGCGAGGGAGAAGAACTAAGTTACATGAAACAATCCAACTACATATTTTACACCACTGACAAGGGAAAGTCACTACTCACGGTGTCTATGGCTAGCTTCTAGCTTTCTGCGCTTGGAAGCATCTTTTCATACCTTTATCATGTATATTTTTGCTGACTTTTAGGTATAAAAGTTTTTAACATTTTACCAGGGCTGTCAAGTGATTAAAATTTGTATTCTAATTAATTACATGAAGTGCTCATTAATTAATCAAATGAATGGAAAATTAATCGCACATCACAGGGCAAATTAGCGCCGATGGGAGTGGAAAATTATGTGCGTGATCAACTAACGGCGCAGATTAAAGAACACAATCTACCAAGAGGACAGCAAATTATGCTTTTTTTAGGTGTTAAATATAATGGCGCAAATACCAGTAAATTGACTAGTGTAAACCTTAGTAAATCAGCTTGTGTGTTGACTCTCCTCCCATATATTTTGTGTCTGAGAGGGAAACAGCTACAAATGCATAAGCAATAATGCCTTTCAGTGCTAATTCTTCACCGGGTGTCTTTAGTAAATCCTGACAGTAGTTTTTTAACCAAAAGAGGATTTGCACTGGTGCAAGCTGTTAGTAAATCTGTCCCAAAGTGTTAAGTCAAGTCATTATCGTGTTCAATGAGAAAAGCATCAAATAGGCATTAGAAAAAGTAGCTTTAGAAAGAAAAAAGAAAAAAAATTCAGAAGCTGTATCTGAATTGGTATTTAGATAAAGAATATTTACAGACCAAAACAGTTTGGTTACAAACATTCTTCAAAAAATATTATTTTATGTTCCTCAAAAGAAAGAAAGTCATACATGCAGGTTTGAAATGACATGAGGGTGAGTAAATGTAAAAATATATATATAATTTAAATTTTGGGGCAAACTAAAATACGAAATACATTTTTTTTATGAAATGATCCTCTAAATAAGAAACTAAACAGCCAGTAGGTGGCGCTATATGTCTAAATGAGTAAGTCAATGGCAGCGTCCAAAAACGTTGCAAAAAATGCAGCGTTTGCACTGGAAGCTTCGCCATGAAACTGAGATACAATTTAAATAGAGAGAGCTTTAGTGATAACTAAGCAAATATTTACTACGATATAAATTTCTCACTAGAAATGACATCAAAAGTAGAAAACAATTTCAAAAACAAACATTTAAACACACAAACTGACCAGCAACCGCTAATTTCAGACGCCATCTTTATTTTTTTTAGCTCAACTGACAGAATGGAAAGCACAGGATTGTGGGATATCAAAGGCAGGGAAGGATGCATCTATGCTATGAGTCCATCAGATGAAGGGATCTCAGGAGACACCGAAGCTAACTTTAGACTCGGACGTGCATGACGCCTTCACCTGGGAATGCATTGCATCCTCCGAAGGCAGCATTTTTATTCATTCAGTCATTCATTCAATTAGTTCAAATATATAATGCATTTTAAAAATGCTCATATAAACAAAGAGTGAAACAATCCAAAACCATGTCAACCATGTATTTATGTATGCATGTATTGTCCACTGCATTATTAGACAAATGAAGGAGCACAAGTGTGCTCATAGTTAAAGAAACACAGTTTTTTGAGCTGCTTTTATTAATTTTTTGACTCCAGACAGCACACAACTCCAGCAAATTAAAGTACGAAACTAGTTCACTGTACTTGTAATATTTGTAACATTTATCCATTAATTATTAGAAAGCATAAATGCTAAATAGGGCCGGCAGTGCTAAATACATGTGCAAACATCTTTTCCCTGAGTTCAAGCCCGTTTTTCAGCAGTTGATTATGTTTTATTCAGGGGGCGATAGAAATGAATATATTTTTGATGAAAAATCTCTTTCATGCCTTTAATAAATCATTACTCTGTAAAAGCTTGAGGAAAACCAGTGCAACCGAGCAGAGAAATGCTGCAGTGACCATTACGCTTATTAACGTTCTATAACAAATCATATTTTATTTAAAATAAAAATATAAAACTATTATTATAAAGATGATTGTATTTTATGTAAGATTTTTTATTACAAAAGTAGGTAACACTTTATTTTAAGGTGCTTGTAATAAGCAGTAATTAAAAGTTAATAAGACACTTATAAGACCTTATAAGATGCTTATAAGATGCTTATTACTGCTTATTACAAGCACCTTAAAATAAAGTGTTACCTAAAAGTATTTAAATATTATAAATATTACCAATAATAATATTGAAATAAGTGTATAATAAAAATATTAATACATAAATATATATATATATATTTTTTTTTTTTTATATATATATATATATATTTGTATAATTTATATTTACACCATATATAAGTGAAAATATAATGTTGTTCCATATCCAAAAAAGAATACAATAAAAAAATAAAAAACTACCATACTGTTTTTGTGGACATGCACCACAGTCCTACCATAGTTTGCTGAACACATACATAAAATACATTAAAGCATCATATAAATACTACAGTATATAAATATGGTAATCATTTACCACAATGTTATACATAAAAGTGCAATGGCATTAACGATATCATTACTATAGTACAACTCGTGTTGTATGCCGATGTTTTATTTGGTTACTACACCGAAAACATTTCACAATTTCACAAATAGTTACAAAGAGTGACACTTAAATGTGACATGAGATTTTTTATTTTAAAATGTACTTCAATAATCATTGTTTTATTTACAAATTCGACAAAGTACTTTCTACAGTAGTTTACCTTGTGTTGATGTTTCCAAATCATGTTTTATTCCGTCACTAACATAATAACAAGTCTTGATGAAGATCTTGTCTAAATATCGACTGATGGTCAGTTTTTGTGTGTGTGTGTGTGTGTGTGTGTTTTCCCAGATTGGTGTGAGAGGAAAACTGCAGACTTCTCCAAGGAAAATGGTAAACACTGCTCTAAGTGATGAGGAAAAGGGAATTCAAGACAAGGAAAGCAAGGAAGAATCCATTCTGGCCATGCTGGGAATCATCGGGACTATCCTCAACCTAGTTGTCATCATCTTCGTGTACATCTACACAACACTGTAAGATCCAGAACACACACAGTCCCTTTCCCTCGGGATCCTGAGCTTCACGATGACTGGCGGTGGGATTCTGGCACCGTCCGTTCCACCAGGGAACCCTGTAGATGTGCTCTCGTATAGAGTTCACTCGCACGTCCAGAGGGAAATATGGAGGACAGATTCCCTTCAAACACAGACGATACCATCCGGAACGTCATAACCTGTAAATATGCACGCCATTTCCATATCTCCGGATATTCCCTGCCAGAGAAACAGGACCGTTTCTATGCATGGCTCGATCCACAGGACGTTCTCATTCAGATTAGATGTTTTAACATACAGTGAGATTTCTTACACATTTCAGGTTTACTCTTACTTTATTTAAAATGTTGCTGTTTACAATAAATAGCTTATTATTAGACCAGAGTATTGAAATTTTGTCATCAGTGCTGCCATGAAGGCATTTTAATACACCCTTGAGGAAATACATAATCATTTATAATGACATTCTGTAGTTTTCGGTTTCCGGCTAGTTTGAACCATTTTTGTGGTGCATTAAATTGAATTATTATTTGTTTATTTTTGTGCTTTGCAGATCTTCTTTCTTGTTCAGTATTGTTTTGTGTGGGTTAAAGCAGTTTTAAGACATGTGGGGTGTTATATTGAAACGTGATTTTCCGTAAAGGTGTTTCTTATGTATGTGCAACTTTTAAATATTTTACTATTTCCCATTGTTTTGAATGAGAGAAATCTCGACTACAGTATAGTGGGAAAAGGTGATGTCCGAAGGGGAGATTTGTTCTTAATGACCCTAGAAGTTCGATTAAACCATCAAAATGTGAGGAAAATATATATATATATATTTTTTTTTAAATATTTTAATTATGAGGAAAGAACAAAACGCTAAACATAAGGTAATTATTTGGCAAAAAAGGCAAACTACAGCTATGCAAAAAAAAAAAAATGCATAGAAAAACAAAAAGCTCACAGAAAAAATACATACATCGACTAATCAGTTATCAATATTTCGGTGGTTCTCTCTTGCTTTTTGCATGTTCATAACTTCTTTGTATGACAGCCTGGCCAGAAATTATGTCCACACAATTTTAATATTATTACCTGAGAGTTAATATCACAAATAAAACAATAGACCCCAAGCACAATATGCTTACAAAAAATTTTAACACATTTTTATTAACATTTGAATAAAGGGTGAATATGTCCAAAAGTGAAGATTTTTCCAAAGCCGGACATCCCTTTTGGCCACTACTGTAAACTCAAACAGACTGTTGGATATTACGTTCATTATACTGTACGTACAGTCAGTGTTGCCTTAATAATGATCGACACATCGTCACATTCATATCTGCAAAACATTTCACACGCAATATTTAGTTGCTTATTGGTGTACAGAAGCATAAAAGCACATTTCATTTTTATTATTCTAGAAATTAAAGGTAATCATTTAATTTTTTTAAGCGATATTGTAATTATCTTATCTTAATACCAACATGAGACTGTACTAACGTTAATAAAAGCACAACAGCAGCATAAAGGATATTTGCTGAATGAAAGAATGTATATTATGTCAGTGAAGTATGTTTCTGATAATAAGACTATATGAAATCTAGATGTCAGTGCATAAAGTGCCTGTATTTCTGCAAGATATTCTTTAGCCGTTATGTTTAATAGCTAATCTTACTTTATAAGAGATATTATTATTTTGAAGAATTGTAAAGTCTAAAAGCCCGTTCACACCATAGACGATAACTATTAATAACGATAACGATTACTATAACGAGAGTTCTAAAAATGGTTCTTAATATTAGACGATATCGTCCGCTGGTGTGGACGCTAATTATCATTATATTTATCTTTATACTTCTTGTTCTCGGTGTGACCATGGCTTTACAGTATTAGTGTTTTCCTATCTTTCCTTTCAGCTTCTGTTTTGAAAAATCAATGTAAAGTTTATAACACAGAATGTAGTTGAAGGTCTCATCAGATACACTCTTTAATGTCTATTTTCATCATCTGCACATTTCATCGACACTTCTACTCCAACTATGTTAACAGTGGCTTTCAGATGAATTTACTTTCACGTATATATCTATTCATATCTATGGAGATAAAATGGATCAGCATTACGGTGATACTCCTTGGTACAGGGGCGATCTTGTCTAAAACTCTTTTATGTACTTGAACATGTAATATTGCTATTTCTGATTTAGTAAAGATTGATAAAATTGTTGAAAAATGTTCTTTTCTCATTTCTTCATGTGGAATTAGACAAAGTGAAACACCATCAGGACACGTTGCCCTTTTTCTCTTCAGTATTACGCCTGTTGTGCATCAGCTCTAGCTTAATGCATTTTGTGTAATTATGGGATGGACGTTATGCACGGTCGCCTAGCAACAAGTCGTTTACAGAGCAATTTTTACAGAGTTTAGCCTCGCTGCCCAGTTTGAGCTCAAGGACTCGATTTTTAATGTTAATACAACACAATGAAGTCATTAAAGTTATTTGACTGTCCAAACTAAAATCTAGTATGAAGAACAGACCGCAACAAATCTGTAGAAACCAAATGATCCTTGAACACTTCTTTGTGTGATTTACGGTATAGTGTCTCCAAATTATTTTGTCTTTCATTAGGAGGTTTTCTGGATTTAAACAGGCAGGAATAGAGAGATCTAAAAACAGCTAAATGTCTCTCAGTATGTGAAATGATGCAGTCGAGCGAATAAACAATGTCGTTTGAAGATTCACAGCTGCAGAAATTCAAATGAGCCCAGGAGCCTTTTTCTCAGGCTTTGTTTTACCTGGATAAAGAGCGTCCAGATGCTAAACGAACAAAACCTTCAAAGTCCCCCGTTTCTCAATAAACAACTGATTATTACTGCGAACAAACAACTGCATTAAATACAGACTTTCATATGTCTTGCATGTAAAACACGTAGGCCTACAACAAAGTTTTTTTTTTTCCGGAAAGTTAGGATAGGTTAGAAATACAATATAGATATACAAAACAAGTATTAGGCTATAACTGCAAATGCTTCACTTTCCTAAGTTGGTGCCAATGGATTCTCATCTATTTAGGTCTGGGAAACACAGCCCTGATCGAGTCATTTTCATTAAAGTCCCCCTATTGTGCTATTTTAAAGGTTGTTTTTTGGAGTCTCTTACAACACTTTAATTTTCTCATGATATACATTGCACATCACCTCATTTCTCAAAGAGTCTGAAAATGGTTTGTTCGAAGATTCAGTCTCTCCAAACTCCATCTTTCTGAGAGGTGCTCTGCTCTGATTGGTCGAAACGAAACGTTAATTACCATATCTGAGTTTCAGGCTTCCTCAGCACTTGATACACAGAGATATGAACAGTAACGATGGCGTCGGTTTTACCGTATCAATTTGAGCCTGAGTCCTTATCCTGTATTAGGCTGCATAGATTAGGTCAGCCCGAACCGGGGACACTTCCAACAACTTTCCTTTCACATCTGTAGTTCGGTTCATTTGGTCCGGACTAAGGCCGTGTGTCCACCAAAGCGTTTTTCCACGCGCCTGGTGTATGTTTTCAATTGTTTTCAATGGGAGCGGCGCGTTTTTAGAACGCCATGAGCGTAACGAGGTGCTGAACGTTTTTTTCTCGCTGAAGCGCCGAGCGCCCGGCGTTTATACTGGTCGCCTAGAGTTGAAAAATGTTCAACTTTGGATAAAACGCAGCGCTCATCACTGTCACTTTTTACCCAGCCGTCCAATCACAGTGGAGGAGAGGCGGGACTAATACCACACCGACCAACTGTCACAACATTCTTTCTGTACAACGACATCAACCAGCAGAGCTAACCGAACAAAATGGATGAAAAATTAAACAAATTATCTGCGAAATCAGTTACAAGTAAAGTGTGCTGCGGATATTCTGTATCATAGCAACGAAACGTCTCAACGGAAAAAACGCTGTGCTGCCAAAACGCTCTCAAGCGCCCACAGCTAGGCGTCTTCAGCAGAGCGTCTAGCGTTTTCAGCTGGCTAAAAACGCTTTGGTGGACACACGGCCTAAGGGCAAAAAATTATACTTTGTATCATTTCAGGTGTTTTGGTTCGTTTTCACACACACTGATTGCTCTGGTCCGATTAGTTGATGAAACAAACTAAAATGCAGTCACGTGACAACATTCACATCACTCGTTGCAGACAGACAACAGAACTCCCGGAAGTAAACAAAGAGGAGGAAGATCCGGGAGACATAGGAAAATTCGCTCACAGTGTATGTTCAGAATCAGCACAAGCTTGATCCTTTCGCAAACCCCCTCATAAACAACAAAGCCTAGACGCGATATAAATAAGAGATTCCCTGTGCAGTGTGGACAACTGCAGTGTTCATGAGGAGAGTTTCAGTGAGAGTGCAGAACGCGGTGAGTCAGTCATTTTTGACAATCTAAATATTAATTTTGTTTGACTACGGCAGCTGGTTTAGTCCAAAAATGTGCAGTTCTTTGGCAGTTGGGTCTGTTCGAGGTCAGATCACGTTCTCACCATAAACGAACCGCTCCAGAGTTCGCTTGAAAGCGTACCCGCTTCTTTGGTCTGCTTTTGGTGCGCACCCGAGTGCGATCGCTGCATTCACACCGGCCCAAACGAACCGCACCAAGAGGGACAACGAACACTAGTGCGATTCAACCGAACTAAATGAGGCAGGTGTGAAAGCACCCTTAGTCTTTCCGTTTATTCCGAGGTTTACTGAAGTCAGCCGGATCCGGGCCGGATCAAGATCAGACGGTGAACCTGCGCCTGGACACGACCACAACGCATCGCTGAAGTGCCAGCCTCATCAGCCCTGTGAAGGCCTCATGGACACGACAGCCATCGGCACTGATCCTCAACAAACTCGTCTCCATACCGGCGTGATGACTCCGACCTCCACCCAGATGGAACTGGATAAATACTGTGAATGTTCTGATCCAATCTGACTTCTGACCTGTAATGCTCCCTGAATCATAATCACACACTGTTCGCTTGTTGGTCAGAGGAGAACTGAGCGACTGAGTCTGGTTT